AGAACAGCATGTATTCAGGAAAAGGGCACTCGTCGCCTGGGGTAACTTTCTCCTGGTGCTTGGCTCACCCTTGCAGTGCTTCCACCCTGGAGCAACAGCATCCGCACACATGCCAGCACTCCCCAAGCATGCAGGCACAGCAGGCACAGCTGCCTAGCATGGATTATTCCTGCCAGAAGCATAATAATCTCCTTGGGAGGCTCTATGTAAGGACTGTTGCTGGGGGGACAGACCATATGCACATTAAAATGCAGGTTTTGCTTCCTGCCTCCCAGGTCTACTCCTACAATGACCTGCTGCTGCTTCTGCAATCTCAGCTTCTGCAATACCTTCCCAGCAGATTTCAGTAAGTGACAGCAGGACAGTCCTTTGGTTCAGCCAGGCAGACCCTGACAGCCTCACCGGGGCTGCAAGGGCAGAAATATCCTGCCAGAAGAATTTCCCAAATTCAGATTGCTCAGGGCAACCAGCACCTGGCAACTGCTACCTTAGGAGTAACCTCTGTACTGCTGATGGGATGCTCACCACGGTTCCTGAGCTCTGCCTGGACTCCACAATCAGTTCACAGCCCACGTGGTGCCTCCTGAAAAGGTACTGGGCTATAAAAAACGTTACTTGTTAATAACCCTGGTTCCCAAACACCTTCCCTTTCTTCTTCCTTTGCAACACTTGAAATATCAAATTCAGGTCACACCTTGTCGCAGCAGGACAGAGGTAGTTGGCCCTGATACATCCGTGTGAAATCAGAAGGAAGTGAACATGACTCTTGCTTTGCCAGAGCTGTAGCTGCAGGCACCCATCATGAGGACAAGGATGGTGAGACGGCTGCCAAAAGTGGCAATTTGAGCCCTTCTTTTGGGTCCTCTGACTCTCCTCCAGTGCTTGCACTCATACACAACAATTCATTTGCTTTGTGAGTCGTGAAGAGTTAATTTCTGCCTAAACTACAATTCAGAACAGCTCACTTAGCCAGAGACCTCCATCACTAAAGAGCAAATTATACTACTACTGGAGGTTTAGTCCAGAGAAGACTGAAAGGAGATGTCATTAATGGATAAAAAGATCTCAAAAACGAGTGCCAGGAGGATGGTGCCAGACTCTTCAGTGATGCCCAGCGAGAGGATGAGAAGGAATGGCCATTAACTAAAACACAAGAAGTTTCACCTCAACATGAGGAATAACTTCTGTACATTGAGGATGACAGAGCACTGGAACAGGCCACTCAGGGAGGTTGTGGAGTCTCCCTCTCTGGAGACATTCAAATCGCACCTGGTCACATTCCTGTGTAATCTGCTCTAGGTGGTCCTGCCCTGGCAGGGGGCTGGACTAGATGATCTCCAGAGGTCACTTCCAACCCTAATCATTCTGTATTTATAAAAAGATCCTAATCCTTGCTGCCATCAGTCCTGATCCTATCCCAATTAATAACCAAATTAATGTAACACTGATGCCCAGTCCACCACAGGGAGAATGAGTTTTCCTTCCAGCCGTGAACAAGAGTGGTGTATTTATGTTCCCGGGGTTAGCCCCATGCCACTCCTCTCATGCCTTGGTGATGCAGGCGAGCAAGAGGAACCAGCTTCATTTTGAATCAGCTTCCTATGCCCAGCAGAGCAGCGTTGGGGTTGTCCAATCCTACACTTGGTGCAACAGGGGCTGGGGATGGTCTGTGTGACAGAGGGGGGCCAGGGTGTGCACAACTCAGCATGCTTCGCCATCCCCTAGCTTCAAAGCACTGAACCAGATGCTCTCATCCCCTCCAGGAGCCTCTAATGGGAGTGGGGGGGGGGGTGCCAAATGGCTGCTGCATCACATTCCCCCTTATGTCCTCCCTATTCTCCCTGAACGGAACAAAGCTGTCCTCAAAGTGATGCTTTCTGTCGAACAGCTGACCAAAACTGAAAGTACAAACAAAATTTAATGGAGCGTGAAGCCTCATATGACAAGGAAAATTCCCGCTCCAGTTCTCATCTCTGTTTACAACGTCAAAAGTGGGTCAAATTGGTCTGCAATGGAGGAATCAGTTTGGAAAATTATCTCAGGGAGGAAAAAGCATCTAGCTGGTAGACAACTGCACTGCAATGCTTCCACAGGGATCCTTCCCCCTGCCATCAAAATAACTCAGTCTTACAGCGCAGGGTGGAAATCCTGTGTAACTCGAAACCACAGCTTTTCATTCAAATGACCTGAATTCGGTAATTCCATATATTTTAGAGCAGGTAAGTCGACTAGTGTCCTCCAGTACAGATCTCTGAACTTTAAAACAATTAAGACCTCACTTGATTTGGTCAGGGTGGGGGAAGCTGTTGGGGGGTTTGTTAGTTTTGTTGGTTTGTGTTATTTTTGTCTTAAATAACTTCCCCCCTTTTGTTCCTTTGCCATGTTCGGGACAAGGTTATTGAGCTGCATCACACTGCCTAACCCAACTATTCTGTTTTATCCCATCATGGTCTCTCACAGCATGCAAAGGAATCATTACGACATTAAATGGGAGCCCAGAAATGAGAGAAACAGGCTGTAGTATTTTCATTTCAAGTATTAGGAAACTGCTGAATTTAATATCTGTCCTTTGCTGTTGTTCAGGATAGATGCCAGGAACTTTTGGCTAAATTTGCATTACAATCAAGAAGCTCTGTACATTACTGTGTACAAGGATGGTATACAAATACACAGCAATCTAACGGAAGAACATACCAACCAGCCTCAGAACCCACTAATTTGTTGTATCGACTTAAGAAAAATCTGTTGTTTGACCTTCAAGTGCTCAATTCCTTTTACGATCACACAACATTTATTTATTAAGACTCTTCTGCTAAGTACTCTCAGGGTATCCAAAAGCTTTAAAAAGCACAAAATGCTAAAAAAAGATGCATTATTGCATTGCTGCACATATTGAATCCTCTTCCTAAACAGTTTTTGAAAGGAAGAAATGCATTTATAGCATTTTTTAGAAAACATCTTAACAAGAACCAAACTGATAAACACTCTTATTTATAACTTGAATCTTTATGCTCTTTGGTTTTAGTTACTATTTTGTATTTACACAAAAAATGAGCTCTGTAAGTCTCCAAAGTGTCTGCTGATGTCAGATATTTTTAGAAAGTTACGATTTCGAATTATTTTAAGAGCTGAATCTGTGGGACAAACCTTGTATCTTTAGGCTCCAAATATGTCCAGTTTGAACTTGTGGCTTTCAGGAATTCCATTCAGGAATAAAAAGGCTCACATTTAAAATGCACTCAGTATTAAAAAAAAATAATGACATAATGAATAGCAGTAGGAAAAATGACTTTGAAAAAAATAAAATACAAGGAAGGATGTAAATTTTGTATGTATTTATTAGCAAACGAAAGAAAAAATATCATGGAAATAGCTCAGACTTGTAACAGTGGCTGAGAGCGTGCAGTAAGTATCTGGTATATACTCTGAGTCTATAGGAAAAGAATATTCACAAAGTTGGATGGGAAGATGAGTTCATGAGTCTCCCTGGTGTGTCTATGAATTAGAAAGTGCAATGCGAAAGACACAAAAATAAGTGCAGTTCTCCTCACAAAAGTGCCCCTGAAAATAAACAAACAAATAAATAAATAATAAATAAAGGGTTATTTCTCCCCAGACTTTCACCAAGCCGAAGCCGGAGGGACCTCCGTCAGCCGCTCATCCAGCACCGTGCTCCGGGAGGTGGGGGCTGCGAAGCACCGCCGTTCCTCCTCCTGCCCTGGCTGCCGTCCCAGCCGCACACCACTCGCTGCAAACCTCGCGCCTCACACACACCACTGGGTCCACGATAAACCCCCCCAACAGCTCCCGGCGTGCCAGGATGGTGGTGGGGCTGGTTGCTGCTGGGAGTTTGGTGAGCTCAGCCCTTCTGCTAAACCCCCCTCTGGGTGTGGGTACTGTGAGGGGAACCTCCTGCCCAAACTTCAGAGGGATTCACACCTCTGATGTGAAAAGGGAGCCTCGTTCACGCTGAGCTGTTCCTAGTTATACCACACAGAGAAAGATCACGTTAAGTCGGGAAATGCTGCTCTAACACTCACTTCTTACTTATTTTGTTGCTCAGTAGAGCCTGTTTCACAAATTGAGTTCAGGACCCCACCTGACTAGGCTTGACGTCTGCACAAGGGGAAAGACCTTTTCTGCCCAGAAGCTCAGGACCCAGAAACGTTTTGGAGAGGTGCTCAGAGAGGATGCCTGGAGCAGCACAGTGGGATGGGCTGCCAAGACCCTCCTTGGGCTCCGTGCCAGCAGGCAAGAGAGCCTGGTGGCAAGGAGGGACAGGCAGAGCTTGGCCAAGCAGGTGGGCAACCAAGCCGGGGCTCCCCATGCTGAGAGGTCCCTGCCCTCAGCCCCACATCACCCCCATGTAACCCTGAACGGCAGAGCAGGACATTTACCCGCTCTATAGCTGCAGTTTACAGCCCAGCACACTGGACAGAAGTTTGCACTTCTCATACCATGACCACAAAGCCACAGCACCTCAGGAGTGGACACATCCCCTTTGGCTCTATTGCCCAAGTAGCCACTCTGGGGAAGATGGTAGTGAGGAAAGCTGGTGTCAGCGACAGCAGCTTCAGCCATCCCAGATAGCTCCACTGGCTACCATGATGAACCCCGAGTTACCCACACTTGCACCACTGACAACGCATCGTCCCCACTCTCATCACTTCCATCACCCATCAACAACACCACGGGCTCCTGCAGGGTTTCCATATCCCCATGCTACCTCCTGATTTGCTTGTGAATTTAGAGGAGCAGGACTGACCTAATGCATCTACAGAGCAGGACTCCAGCCCAGAGCCAGGACCTCCACACTACGGTACAACACAAGCAACAAACCCAGTTGGTGGCAGACTTAAGAACGGAGACAGCCTAGTCCAGCACCCCACTGAGCTCAAGGCACTGGCCTTCAACTTTGTGGGTCAGCGGACTGCTTGAAAAAGAGCCACAGAAGGTAACAAAAGCCCATTGTCAGCAGGCTCCAGCGCACGGAGTGTCTGCCAGCCGCAAAAGGTGAAACGTATGGTGTTATTTTCAAGCGAGGAGTTTTCCTATCAGCATGGCAGATGACCTTCACCAGCCTTCTCTTCCTCACCTCATCCCGGCTTACAAGGAAAGTTTTTCCACTATGTGGGTCACTACACGTATTGTGTTGTTGAGCACCAGGTGCGACAACAGTGCTGTCCCAAGTCTCGAGGCACACCACAAACCTCCCCTCCAGCCGAGCTGAGATAGGAATTACGTGCGCACACGGAGCACACAAAAGTTACCTGACACAGTACACTTCCCCCAAACACAACACAGAATGGAGCTGTAACGCGCTTTTTCAACCCGAGAAGAACGAGGTTTGTTTTCTTTCCCACAGGCTGCCAAGTGGTAAAAGACCCACATAACGCTAAAGCCGCCTTCAAGAAAACTAAGCGTCAAACGTTAAAATGTCCTTCAGAGGCTGGAAGGGATGAGCTGAATCACCCCACGAGCCAGGTGAGGCACCAGCTATGCCAGCAGTTCCAGGGATAAGTTCGCAGCCGGCGCGTGACGCGCCAGAAAAGATCCATAACCCCCCAAAACACAAGAACGCTTTTCCCATGCACATCCAGCACTTCGCTCTGGAGAGCGGACCATTCTTCTGTGTGAAACACTTGCGAGCCCGTGGCCCTCAAGGGGAAGCCCTCTTCCTCCGACCACCCCCGGGGCGATACCGGGGCTTACCCCCCCAACCCCATCCCGCCCTTCACACCCCCCCCCGGGCCTGCGGGACCCCTGTTCCTCCCGCACGGGCTGAGGCGGCGCGGGGGGCCCGTCGGCGGGTGCGGCGGGCCCGGCTGCACAAAGGGCGGCGGGGCCGGGGGGAACCGGGCACTTACTTTGTCTATGGTGCCCGGGAGGAGACGGTCGAGCAGGCGGCAGAGCACCACCCCGTCCTTCAGGGAGGACTGAAGGAAGCCCTCGGGGTCGGAGATGGTCTTTTTGGGCGACTCCAGCACGCCCAGGGCGATCAGCCACGTAACGGTCTGCTCCGCCGAATTCATGGCGATGGCGGCGGGGCGGGGGTCGCGGCCCCCCGCGCCTCCCCTCGCGTGGGTTTTGTGTGTCCCCGGGCGGGGGCTTCAGGCGGAGGCCGGCACCGCCCCCATGTGAATGCAGATGACGACGCCCCGGCCCCGCCGCCGCCACAGACACATGCAGCTGCAGCAGTGCCGCCTCCTCCCCGCCCCCCCCTCCCGCTCCCGCCGCCGCCGCCGCCGCCGCCGCCGCCCCATGACATCACTGGCAGTGGCGGCAGCCGGCCCCTCCGCGCGGGGGCAGCGCGCCCGCGGACAGCCGCGCGCCACTCCGCACCCTCAACCGCAAAGACCCGCGCGCCCCCCGTGGGGCGGGCGGCGGCTGCCCCCTAGCGGCAGGACGGCGCCTCCGCGGGCGCGCAGCGGGATAGGTACGAGTCCTGTGAGGAGCGGCCGGGGGACCTGGTGGGGTGAGTCTGGAGGGAAGGAGGCTCAGGGGGGACCTTATCGCTCTGCAACTACCGGAAAGGAGGACGGAGTGAGGTGGGAGTTGGGCTCTTCTTCCAAGCGTCAAGAGACAGGACAAGAGGTAACAACCTTAAGCTGTGCAGGGGAGGTTTAGACTGGATATTAGGAACAATTTCTTCACACGAGGGTGCTCAGCCATTGGATCAGGCTGCCCAGGGAAGTGGTGGAATCAGCATCCCTGGAAGTGTTCAAAACCCGTGCAGATGAGGCCCTGAGTGACATGGTTTAGTGGTGGACTTGACAGTGCTGGGTTAACAGTTGGACCTGATGATGATCTTAAAGGTCTTTTCCAACCTAACTGGTTCTGTGATTCTGTTCTAAGGAGCAGCCAGTTACTGACGGCCGTGGTCATCCTGGGGGACTGGAAGCTGGGGGGGGGGGGGAAGTTGGGAGGCACTGGCCACGAGCTCTTAGCCTGCCTGGTCCCATCAACCCAGTCTGGGCCATTGTGCACAGGTCTGTGTGTGGGGAAGCCTGTTAGGCAGCCTGGGCCCCAGCAGCTGATCGCTGGCTGGCCCCAGCACACAGCGTCCCTGTCACCATGCCCATAGCTCAGCTATGCCTCCCCAGGGCTCCTTGCATGGGCTATGGCACTGGCTGGGGAGCTGGTGTGAAGGCCTGGGAAGGCTGACCTGAAACAGCAGTGAAAGCATTCCTGGGGTTTTTATTCTGGAAAAAACCTGTTCCTGAATGCTCTGCAGGGACAGCACCCTGCATGTAGCCAGTGGTTTTTTATTAAGGCCTGTGTGGGCTCCTCAGGGCCACACTGTTGCCACCAGACTCCCCAGTGCTGGAAAGGCAAAGTCACCATGGCCCGTGCTCTCCCCCTTACCTTCACACCCCAGCTGAACCTCTCAAGGGGCAAACCTACTTCTCAAGGCAATATTAGAAGGACTGTTGCACACCCTCATCATTTCCTCTCTGTGGTTCTGCTTCCAGGCTGGCTCACCATGACCACCACTGCCACTGCAGCTCCTAAGCAGGGTTCTCCTGGTCCAGAGTAACCTCCTGAACCACAGGCTGGCCCACACACTCCACAGAAAGACTTGAGGTGCATTTGGATTTCAGATAATCCAACCCCAATGTTGAACCTCTTTCTAATCCATAATGGAAGCGGTTTTCTTCAACTCTGATACCTGAGGTGTGACAACTCTTTCAAAATTTGCTGGCCTTACCCATTTGAAAGTTTGCCTTTTGCTGCTTCCAGATATATTTGGAGCAGCAGCTTCCTACCTGACTGCTGGTTAGCTGTGAAGAACACAAACACGGCTGGGTTTTCCCATGAGAAAGCCATGTGGACGGCCTGCCTGGAGACCTCTGAAAGAAGCTTGCTGCAGGTGGAGGAACTGTTTCCAAAGCTTTAGAGGAAAAGAGTGAAAGTTCCCAGAAGATTCAGGAGCATGCCAATCCCTTCCTGGCTTCCTTCCTTGTCAGACTTTCCCCTACAAGGTGTTTAGTGCAAACCACACGAACTCTGCACCAGTCCCTTGATTTATCCTTTTCTCTCGTGTGCTCAGTGCAGGGCATGGCATCACAGAATGGTTTGGGTTGGAAAGGACTCTAAAGACCATCTAGTTCCAAATCCCCTGCCACAGGCAGGGACACCTTCCGTTAGACCAGGTCGCACGAAGCATTGTCCAACCTGGCCTTGGCCACTGCCAGGGATGGGTTTATACCAGAAATTAGTAGGACAGACAGATATTTTGCATATACACCATCCAGAAAATGGAGCCCATGCTGTGGTGGGAGTGTTGGAGTCGTGCAAACAATGAAGCATGTAACTATTGCAAGTCTGCCCTTTTTCTTCTCCTTTATTTCATAATTAAAGCTGTTCTGATTCTCTTCTGTCCTGACTTTGGTTTCACTTTTCTTCTAAATCATAAACCAGTGATACTTTAACTAAATCACCCATTTTGAAAGTGTTGAGACAATCTAAGCTCTTTCTGAAGGCTTCAAAAGGAACGATTTTAAGCACCTTTCTCTGCAAAACATTTTAAATACATACAAAACTGAAGAAGTCACCTTAGAACTGAGCCTCTATGTAAATAAAGGACAGATGTAGAGCACGTATGTAGGTTCAGGTAATTTCCAGGTCTTAAATCTCTTTACACAAGCAAAAAGATTTTTTTTTTTTTTTATTTTGGAGTTTTCTTTCAGTTTAACGATATCTGGGCCCCTTCTTTAGCAAGAGAGAAAGAAATAGTCAATGAAATACATCAGCCACCTTTGGAGGAGATTTAACAGCACATCATTTTCTGTAAATGATGATTAAGCAGTTGACAATTTATTGGGTCTTTTCCCAGCTTTTGTCATATTCCTGTGAGAAGTTACTAAGGAAACCAGGTAGGCATGAGGGGTAGAAGAAAAATTCCTGCCACAGTGGTTGAAAGACAAAGCAGTAGGAATAATTTGCCAGTTTTCAATTTGACCAGAAAGTTACTGGTAGAGCTACTTTCTCTGATCTGCACTATAGATTAACTGAAAGTCTCCAAAAGGCAATTGTACTTCTGCAGGGTTTGTTTAGTCTTTTAGCCTGGGCAACAAGTTTTAGAGGAGGGAGAGCAGGAGAGGTAGAAAATAGCAGGTGGAGAGAGCTGCTGCTTCATTTTGGACTCTCATTTGCCATTTTTCATCTCCAGCTGTTTATACCTCCTCTGCCTGCCCCCGGAGCAGCAATGGGACGCTTTGGGCAGATATGCAACTCTGTTTTCCCTGTGCCAAACCAAGGTCAGGATTTCAATGGGGAGGAGACTAATTAAATATCGGTCCAGCTTGAACAGAAATTGCTTTGACAGTCTGTAATTAGCTATGTAGGGGTTACACTGGATCAGTCGCTGTGCTGGGATTCCTGGGCTACACAGAATTACCTCTGTAGTTTCATCCTAGGGAGGTTGATAGCCCTTTGAAGTAAAAACTTCACCCCAACAAAGCAATGCTTCTGTACTAAACTCAGAGATATGTTTCCATGTCTGGTTAAACCTGCTTTTCAAAAGTATTCGGAGGCTTGTAGTGGAGATAGTGTTTTGCAGTTACTGAAACCAGCTATCACAAGTTCAGTATCACCCGTTCTCTTTGCTGATGATTGACTGTCTGTCATCTTGTCATCGGAAGGTGTCAGTTAAAATCTACATGCCAAAGATGGTGGTGGTGAACTCGGGAAGGCAGATCTATGAGTTGCAGGGTACTGACGTGGGTGACAACGGAGAAAAACCAACTCAGAACCAATTATTTCATTATCCTTCAAGTTGCAAAGTACTTTCATAGGCAGGTGCAGAATTTCTAGTCCCGAGAAGCCTGTCAGTCATGCATAAATAAATGAACACCATGCAGAGTGCAGCTAAAGTGCCAATGCAGAATTACAGATGTGGGACCCTGAGAGCAGATGCTTGACAAAGAGTGACAGCAGCATGATGCTGTGAGGCAGCGTGATGGGTGACCTGGACCTCTCAAACAGGGTTTGCAGCATTCTCCATGCAGAAATGTCCAAGCCAGTCCCAAAAAGAAGAAAGCAAAGGCAAAGGTGCTCAGAAACCTCTTTCATGGGGGCTGCAGGGTCTGAGGGAAAACAGGGATGCTAAGCATGAACAATGCTTTTAGCTGGGAGAGAGATGTCCCGGAGCTCAACTCCCTAATTTATTTCCCCTGGACATGGATTTCAAATCTCTCAAGTCTCTAGCCCACTTGCTCTATCTACTACTTCCTGGGCAAATGCCTTTAGGATCTATTCAGAAGCAGAAATTCTGTCACCACATCTTTGTTTTAAACCAATGAAGCCTATTGACACCATGCTCTGATCATGCTCAGTGTCCAGGCTGATGCCAGATTCTTAGCTGTTGCTGTCTTTACAGTCAAACTTTTTGTTGCCATCATTTGACAGGACAACTAAGACAATTCTATGTGTTACAAGCTTTATCATGGTCATCGGTGCTTTTGTAGCTTTTACCCTGGCTGTGATCTTTAGATGGAAATAGCCACAGAGTGCTCTGGCAAGTCTGAGATTGACCAAAATGTAGCTCTGCTTCCATGCTCCCAAGAGCATCAATTCAACAGCTATGCTGCTTTTGTCTTCTAAGTGCAGTTCAGGATAATGGCATTGATCCGTAACATTCTTTATACTTTCAGAAACCAATAATAAATGTCTCTGCTTTAGGCAAAGATGAATATGAAACGAAAAGTCCTTGCCACGAAGGGCTTAGTCTAAATCACAGCTGACAGAACATGAAGAACAGCTATGAGAAAGGAAGAAACGAAGAAGGACAATAGGCAGCAGCGCGGTCACACATAGGCTCCCTCCATGGAAAGAAATCTATTTTAATTGCCATTTTGAAAGTTTTATTCACATTTAATGAGGATGAAGAAAGAGATTAAGGAAAGAAAAATTTCCTTGAAATCAAAAAGGCTATTATGATTGAAAACACTTTGAATTTAAACACCAACAAAAAAAGGAACCGAGAAGTTCAGATTTAACATGTACATACTGAATGAAGAGTATTTGCCAATTTTTGCCCTGTTATTTTGTTAGCATGAGATGGAATAAGTGCTGTTTTAACACTGCCGGCCAGGCAGAAGCAAATCAGCAGCTCCCCTGGGGAAGGTCTGGGGGAGGGGAGTTGGCAGTGAGCTCCACCGTTCTGGGCCAGCCGCAGGGAAAGCTGTGTCCTGCAAGCTGAAAGCTCAGATGCAGATCCCCAGCTGGTCCAAGTTGTCACGGCTCCCTGGAAAGAAGCTGATGAATCTGTCGCATCTCCTAAACAGTGAGCTCTTTTTAAAACTTCTGCAAAGAGCTCTGGTTACAAGCAACAGACATGACCATCCCTAAAAAGGGCAAATTAGATTATAGGCTGTATCTGATGAAAAATTTTGGGTAAAGGTAAGAAAGGGTGTTAAAGAATCATTAGTAAAAACTCATTTGGAGTACAGCACAGAGACTTGAACACTCATGTTCCAGAAAAATTAAATTACACTGAAACAGAGTCATTAGAAGACTGACAGTGATCTTACTGGAGCTTATCATATTTGCCCTGGTGAAACAAAGCCTGAGAAAGTGTGCAGGAGAGCTGTCTGTAAATACGTCAGTGAGTAAATATCACAGATAGACAGGCAAGAAGCTATTTAAGCTTAAGGACAATGCCAGCACAAGAACAAATGGATATAAACAAGTCCAGAATAAATTTATGCTGAAAATCAAAAAAAGGTATTTGATTCTTCTAGCCATAAAAAATCTTCAGTGCTGATAAGAAATAGTGTGGCAAATAACCCAGTTGTTTTTAGAGGGCAGTGTAATGAGTGGGTTAAAGTGATTTTATGACTTGACTGAAGTAGAGTGACTGGACTTCGCCCAGGCTCTGCTCCTCAGCAGGCTTTGTGTTATGCCTTCAAGAATGAAAGTGGGCCAAGCATTCATCATGATGGATAAAGTTTAGTGTGAGAAGTCAAATAAGCAGAACGACAGTCAAAGCCATTCTCTCGCTCTGAGTGAATGCTAATGACACTCATCCATTGCCGCATGGAAAACTCACTCAGTAAACTAGGTTAATGGAAGAAAATCCTCTTCTCTGGGATACAGGCCCATTGGGTTGGAAGCTACACATAGTGACCCTTGGACATATTCCGTAGAGTCCTTTCCTAGTCATCTTTTCCAATCCTATCAGTTTGCTACAGACCTATGCCTCTTTAATAAACGTGCAGCCATTAACAGAGTGAAGTAGCATCCTTCTGCTGGTGTGAATAGCCTTTCCTCCTCTTTATTCCAAAGTCCTTGGTGGTAGAAAACAGTTTTCAAGATGATTCTAAGTATGGAGGATGGAAGGGCAGTGCACAGGATGAGAGAGCGGAGGAGAACACAGAGATGCTGGAGGCTCTTGGTCAACGCATTGAGCTGGAGCAACAAAATATACAACTCTCCCATCAGCATATTCAAGATAACATTTCCACACTTTGCTCAGATAAAAAGGAAGGTGAATGACTTTGATGGGATTGGTTAGTTGGTGAGGTTCACAAGCGGATTCTTACAGTTATACAAGCAGTCAATACACTGGGGACATTTGATAAGACTATAAAACTGAAACAGTCCCCATTCACAAGTGAAATCTCTGTCTCTCCATGGCACACAGCAAGTGTCACCATCTGTTGGGTCACCCTTGCTATTTTTTGGGTGTGGGGGTTGCACTCACTAATCCTCAGGGCATGCTCAGGGGAGGGTTTCAGCAACTTGTTCCCTTTGGCACCCGCTCAGAGCCCCAGCCTTGGCTCAGTGTAACCTATCAGCTTGACCAGGCTTTCAAGTGCTCTCTGGACTATTTTTGCATCACACCACGTGAGTTGGTGGAACTTTTATTTTTAGTCCTACGGTATGATTTGTTTGGTCTGCCTGTTTCCCATGTAGGTACTGAAGTGCCAAGGTGCTAAAAGACTTCTAATGATAATAGTGTCAATAAATGTCACAGTCAATAAATGTCACCATCTGCGTTACAGTTAGCATCTGCACCCTTCCAGCCCATATTTATATTATATCCATTTAGGTTATAGGCCTTTGTATCATCACTAGCTCACTTCAGATTTACTTCTAGCAGTCTCAGTCAGCAGTAAGATGCTCTCCTAGTGCTCCTTTTGAAAGACACCAAACACTAAAAAAACTTTTTCAGCACAAGCCCTGCTGAAGACTTACCTTGCTCATTGGAGCTTTGCCTCCTCAGACTAAAGGGTTTGCATGGGTGCTATTACTGAGTATCAAGAGGAGGCGCAGGGTCAGCTGGGGAAGCTTCTCCCTGCCCCCTCAGAAAAGACACACAGATGGCAACACCTGAAAACTTGTATTTTGCCACAGGATCTCCAGGTACCTCTGGCTGCTCTCATTTTTTGCTGGTCAAAACTGGAGCCACTCAATAGAGACAGATTATGGTGGCAGTTGCTTGGCTCAGCCCTCTGCCCTTTTCTCTTTCAGAAACCCAGTCTTGTGTATTTTCCCTTGGCTTTTCTTTGGCTTTTATAGTCCTGTTTGCAGCAATAATTTTCAGTGCTCTTAATTTCAGCCAAATAAAATTAAAAAAGTATGCTCTGATAAATTAGTAGTCACTTGACAAGCAGCTTACCAAACACGGTTCTTCCAGAGGCCTTCAATCCTGAAGATCTACAACTTTATATAAGCCAAGGTGCACACACAGTGTCACACCAGAGCTGATCAGAAAGGAGGAGAGTCACTGACACACTGGATTTCCTGGAGTTCTCAAGCTTAGGTGACACCATCATTTAGCAAACAGTAATCTATATGGTCTGCCCTTGTAAGCCATGTCCTCCTATGTCATATTCTCCTGGCATATTTCAGGTGGAACCCCACTGAAATTTTTAATTACCCCATATAAAAATAGCCCTTAGAAGGAGAGCATCAGGCTTTCATTCCTCAGTGGCCTTGTGTTAAACCTCATGTTTCCAACAAAGTAATAGGACATTTCTGCTTTTAAACACAGGAACTGGACTATAAAGGTCCAGGCTGAGATTGTTTGAGATTCTTGTCTCCTTTGTCCATTTTTGCTGTGCTTTCAGTGGAGAGTTTCTGTATTCACGTAAAATACATGTTGATGGCAGTTCTGCAGCCATTGCTGCCGCATCTTTCAGCCAGTTTCCAGAAGGCATATTCCAGCTGCTTACCACAAATAGGTACAAAAAGGAAAAACATTACATAGGTAAGATAAACTCTTTTTTTAAAAATTACAAAAAATAAGGTTTTCTGTGTTTACCTTGGATTTTCTAGAGCACCTTCAAAGCACTGCAGACCTCTGTATGTTTTCAGCATGTTACATGTGATGACTTAATGTGATGGTATTTATAAGCCTGTATTACACTAATCAGTTATTGATCTAATGGATTGACTCTATACCTAGTTACTTTTCAATCTGAAGAGTGTTCAGTCCCATCTATATTTATAATCTCTATCTGATCAGTAAAACAGACCATGGTAAAAGCTGTGTAAGAAAGCTTCCTTCTTTACTAATTGGACTAGGCTTGAAAACCAGAGGCTCTTCTGGGAGCATTGCCTGTTTTCCTCATACTTATTTGCATATTCAGTTCAACAGCAAAACGAGTCTGTAATTGTTCAGTCCAGAAATTAAAAGCTTCTTATCATGTACATCTGTCAGAAGAAAACACGTGCAATCGCTACATCAGTGCCAAACTGTACTAAACCAGCACTACCTGCACTAATTTAGGATTAGGAAGTGTATTAAACAATAACTTAAGAAGCAAAGGATGTTAAGGGAAGGAAATTGGCTGGAGACATTGTTTAATATATCCTTGCTAGTACAAGTAAGAATTTTTCCACTGCTCAACATGTAAATTACATTCATCATCTAATTGCACCGATTGAGGCAATCTGAGGTAGTTTAACATTCAGAAATGTTCTGTAATCAGTTTATATTTGATGTATAACTCACAACAGTATTGACATCATCTTTAAATTTAATAATATGGGTGAGGTCGGACCTCACTGTGAGCTTCCTGCTTTGATGTCTGACATAACTAATGCACATGGAGATGCTCAAATGCTGCTTGGCTGTGCTGCTGGGGATTGAATGTCACGGCTTAATGCCACTGGGAAGAAACAGCACCACCAAAATAACTTGATCTAGCTATTTATCCTTGCAAATATATATTAGGAAATGAGACAAAGACTGAAAAAGAAATGGTGAGGTGATGGTAAAAAAAAAAAGCCTGAAATGGACTGTGGTCCTTGTGATTCAAACCCACATTGTTTTCACATCATATTGTCCCATCCAAACTCACAGGACTGTCTGGACCAGTAATGATTAGTTTAATATCATTACATTCCAGTATACGCATGTGTGCCTACTGGTCAAACTTCCTGAAAATAGGATTATTTAATTAGTTCATATAGAAGCCAAAACATCAAAGTCCATGCTTAAGCAAATCGTCACAAAGCAACTAGGAGTTTTACATGAGAAAAAAGGTGATGAAACAATTCAGAGCCCACTTCTGGTTCTTTTTCTATCCTAAATTTCAGTACAAAACAAAGGAAAAGTGCTGTTTTAAACATAAAGTATGAAATAGCATATTATCTTGTATCCAAAAGACATCACAGCATCAGGCGAATTTCATCTGTGGCAAGTTCTATGGACAAGTATAAACCCCCCGATCAAACTTGTAGCTAATATTTAAAAAGTAACACCCTACTTTCCTGGGTGCCATTTCCCAGGCTGAGGAGTTGATGACAGAAACTTGTACAGAATAAGCAAACATGCAGGGAACAGACCTTCACCAGGACTATTCCATCTTTGATTTCAAGCTCAGACCACCAGTATGCCACAGATGAGGTCAAGCCACCAGAAAGCAGATCTTTCACAAATGGGCTCCTATGTGCCAGTTTCAACTTCTTGTTCTTGACATTACAACTGTTCAGAAGTTAACTTCAAGCTTGGATTGTTTTCCAAGCCAGCTAAGAGAAAAATGCAATTTGCTACTGTTACGCCTATATGGCTGCTCATGTCAACATAAAGTAAGTCTTTTGAACACATCTTCCATAGAGACATGAAATATTTCAAGACAAAAGGCAAGCATTGCTGTTTCCTGTCATTCATAATGTTCTGAAATGGAAAATAAAAACTCAGAGACACCATCCACTTCTGATATTTCCTTAAAAGTGGAACTGGATCGTTTACAAGCTCCACCACAGGAGTACCCCTCCAAATCTGCACTTAGCATTCATTCCAGGAAGGATGCTTCTCTGTTGCTAAAGACTGATCATATACCAACCATACACCATTCCACTGTCCTGCCCTGGAAGTGCAAAATGATGAAAGAAACACTGATACAGGAAGACTGTATGATTTCCAGGCTCCTTACCTCATTATATTTAATACCAAATTTTATTTTTCCTTCCTCACTCTCTCCTGCTTATTTTAATGCATGAAGAATTATTTTATGTCCAGGGAAGATTGTTCTGAATCTCTCCATATTTTGAATATTGATACAAATAAAGGTTTGTCATTATATGAAAGTTGAAACAAGTTATTCATTTAATAAATGCAACATTGTGTTTGGACCAGAGCTAAAAGTTTTGCATACATAGAAAGTAAGAAGTTAAAATAACAAAGTAATGAATTCTACAATTACCTGTGGTCTTTATCTATGCTCTTTCAGCTAGAAGCTCAGTTTCTTCAAGGCCAGAAGCCTTTGAAGTCTCCAATTGGTGAGAATTATGAATCAAGTAGTTCAACACTGTGACATACAATTATTTAAGCATTACACAAAAACAGCCCATGGTGCATTTGACTTAAACAATAGCCACTAGAGAGTGACCCCATAATTTTCATTCAGTCCCTGGTAAATATACTGAGATACTTTCTTAAGCAACTATAAGAGCAGATCTTCTGTAGTAGAAATGAAACACAATTAAATGTTGGGTGAAAAGCTGGTTAGTCTTATTCACATGGAAAAGGACTGTACTCCTCAAAAAGACACAGCAGGACTGTTTGAGGAGCAGATCCTATTCCATGCAATAAGGAGATCAAAATTAAAGCCCAAGACATTTTTATTTAAGACTGTGTATCTTTTAATCTGCAAAGCACAGGACAGATTGTTTGCTTTATTTTAAAGTACTTTTTAGGGGTGTATTTATTAAATAGTAGAGGTCTATCTGAAATACACATAACAAAACAGCTTAAACAAATGAGAAAAAAATGATGGCACATCGTGCCTGCAGGACTGCAAAGCTGTGTATAATTTAGCTTCCTCCCACAAAAGGAAAACTCAGAAAAACTAAGCAAACAAACTTTGAAAGAATTGCACTTTTTGATGTCAAATATTGTTCTTTCACCAGGTTTGCAAACACTAGAATGTCACATAAGCAAATCTAGCTTCAACAAAGGCATTTAATTGTTTACTGCAAATTACAGCTGTATATATTTTGACCACCGTTTCAAGCCAATAAAAATATTGTTTCAAGTTAAAGGACCTAAAAATAAAATGACTGTGAAGAAATATTCACTTTTAGACCATGAACTTCAACACTGCCCTTTAGTCATAAGTCTAAGAATAAATTTAAAAAACCCTCTGTGCTACAACTGTATTTCCTGTAACATCTGTTCATGATTGAGGTATTTCACTAGCACAGGATGTACTCAGATGAAATGGAAACTGCCCCTCTGTAACTGCCAGTTGAGCTCTCAAAATATAGACGAGTTTGCTGACTACAGTGCAATTGAGCCTCAGCCTTCTACTCAGGCAGGGAGGTATTAATACACTGATGGCAGGAATGCTGCTAATAGTCTGAATATTCAGTTAATAATATTGGAACTTATTCTGGAAGCAAATGAAATCTGCAGAAAGGTATTTCTTTAAAGGGGTTTAGATGATGCAAGCCTACAAATGTGTTCATTAGCTACCATGACCTGTTTAAAGACATAGGAAGCCTGTGGCACTGACAGCACAAAGGAGTGAAAAGGACTGTTTGAGGGATACATTCAGATTGATGCTGAACTCTAAATAAAAGATACATGAACAGGGACTAAGCAAAATATTTCTTGTTCTGAAGAAAACTCATATAAACAGCCTGAAGAAAAAGGGAAGGAAAGAATTAAACTTTTAAATCCATACAGAAACTATCTCAGCTACATTAACCTCCTGCTCCCTCCAGCACTGTTAAGAGTGTAGCCAGCCAGCCAAGGGAAATGATTTTCTCTCTTTCTTGTATGAGAGATTCTTTCTTCTAAGTGATTTTCTTTCTTTCTTTTACTTCTTTCTTGTTGTTCCCATTTGAGGGACTACATCTTGAGGATTTCATCCTGTCATGGACACCCCAGTACTGGATACTTGCTGACAATCTGGAGCCAGTCAAGCGCAGGGCCGTGAATATGAGCACATCACTGAAAAGGAGAGGGTGAGAAAGCTGGGCTTGCTCAGCCTGGGAAAGAGCTGGCTCTACATATTTCATGTAGAGAAAAACAGATGCTCATAGTTACTCAAAACCCAACTAGAGAAAGACCTTCATAAGCTTTGCTTTAAACTAGAGGCTGGACTAGAGACCTCCAGAGGTCCCTTCTGACCCCAGTTATTCCATGATTCTGCTCTGGGATTATGTGAGGTGAGATGATCTAGGTCAGTGTTGTAGGGAAGGCAGAGATTTCACCATTGGAAGTTGGGCATGGAAGGAGAGTACTACTGCATGACAGCAGGTACCTTCTAAGGGCAGATTAGCAAACTCTCTGCCAGTGGTTAGCACTGGCAGTCTAGCTAATCCAAAGCTAAATCTTCCTGAGGGACAAGATATATAGCCCTGATGCCCAAAGCTGTTTCCTGGAAGGAACAGTATCTGCATAAAATCAGCCCCTCTAATATTCCAAAACCACAGGCAAGTGCAAGGAATACCTACCTATTTGCCAGCTGGAGAGCATTTTTATACGAGAGAGCTGAAAACAGAAATCATCATTTAAAAAAATAGTGGAATAAAGTATTTAAATTCCAGTGACTTAGGAAAAATTCTTGATGTACTGACTTTAGAAATCTTGTTTCTTCACCAGTATAAATAAAATAATTCAGCTAAAATACAAAAGCAAGTTTTGATGATTCAATATCACGAAGTTATTCACTGTGAATATGCTAAGCATTTGAGACAAAAATGGAAGAATTATAACAGACACATGTGCTAATGAAGCTACCACGCAAGATATGAAGCAAGTGAAAGTGAGAATGCAAGGCAGGAACAACAGCATAGTACAAAAAATACAATCTGTGCGAAAGGATGAAGCAAATCTTGAAATACGTAGAAATGCAATTGCAAACCGCATGGAAATAATGTGTTTGCCATGACTGTGGTGCACAAAATGAGAAAGAACAGGTTTAAACTGCAGCAAAAAAAAATTCAATTGGACACAGAAATGTCTTAACAGCTTTTGTGGGAGGTGCTATAACCTTAGCATTGCTAGCAACCTTTAAGAAAACATGAGACAAGTATCTGTCAGAAGTGATATATCTACACATGTTCCTGCCTAGTAGCAGGAAGATGCACTAGATGAACTTTAATGTCCTTTCAAGCCCAATGATTTCATATGGAAGCTTCTATATATCAAAGATAGGAATAAAAAAATACCATCAAGTCTAAATTACAGTCTAAAATACAATCTGAAGTAGAATTACAGAATTATAAATGAAAGATTAGTGATCAATGAATTTTAGAGAAAACCAGCTAATCTTTCCTTGTGATGGTATTTGCTAATGGAAATTTATAGTAATCACCTTGACATTAAATATATATATATATATAGAAATAAGCTTGAGGCATTTTGTTTCTCAGTACTGAAGTACTAAGACAGCAGCCAATTATGAAATGCCGCCTCCATGATTATGACTTACAATGTGACCTGTGTTATGAAGAACATCAGACTAAATAATCATCACTCTCACTTCTGGTCTCAAAATGCAGGCATGGACCAGGATTATTATTGTTAACACATTCCTCAAGATACAGAAAACAGCAGCCCAGGTGTTAGCAAAAGGCTCTGTGATTTCTTCAGCAGCATGATGTTAGGCAATAAGCATCTTCTTTCTCTTCCTCTCTGCTGTTTCAAGAGGTGACCTCATCCATATATCTAATAAAATCACAAAGGCTGAAAAGCATACTGGCTGAGCTCACTGATGTTCTTAGCTCTGTCTCTTAATAATTACTTTTCCAGTGCCTCCCCTTACCAGTAAGATGAGCTCGATGAATCGGAGTTAACTTCATTATGTGTCTTTGCCAGAAGCAGCTTCCCCTCCTGTCATCTTCCCAGTAATGAAAGGCTCTCCCCAGCTTTAACTACAAAGTCCAGACTGCTGTGCACACAAATTTTATCCAGGCAGTACGATTTCTATCAGTCCACACAGACTGATTTTACACATACATGTGTGTAACAGTAGCTCAAAATAATACAGCCGACACACGATTTTCTTAATTCTGCTGTAGTGTCATTGTCTTTCTGAATTTTAGCAATGTGCAAAGGCATCTGTGCAAGCAGTTAAAATTAAGTGCATTTGAAGGCTAACCTAGAGTAAATAAATAGTACAAAATTAAAAAAAAATGTTTAAATAAAGATCTTAAAACATACCACAGAATCACAGAATGGTTTGGGTTGGAAGGGACCCTAAAGACCGCATCGTTCCAATCCCCTGTCATAGGCAGGGACACCTTCCTCTAGATCAGGCTGTTCAAAGCCCTATCCAACCTGACCTTGAACACTGCCAGGGAGGGGCAGCCACAGCTTCTCTGGGCAACCTGTGCCAGTGCCTCACCCAACATAACTAACAATTAAACAAACCTGTTAATTTTGTAATCATTTAAATAAGGTTAATAAAAAGAATAATCTTTCTCAAGATTTGACACTCAAGTCAGTGGTATTTGAACAAATACTATTTCTAAAATCCCAGGTAAGAAACTAGCCTGCTTCACATTGACTTTCCCCTAGCCTCTAGCTATGTATGTGGCAGTTCTGTTTACACACACAAAGGCATTAGTGCAAGCAGAAATTACTCCAGGCCTTTATTTGCATTTGCACAATCAGGAACAATTTTTGAAAATATAAAAGCCACAGAGTTGTAGCAAACTCACTGAAAGAAGCAAGTATGACTGTCCTCCCTAAGAACATCTTGTCTTATGCCGAGCTGTTACTTACTTTTATTTAGTTGGAACGTAATGTGACACATATAAACTATCTTCAGTGTCTTACTCAGCATCAGTGCTAGGCACCAATACCAGTGAATGAAAAGAAGGCTCTGGATCAAACCCAGGTATGATATTTCCTTCTCTGACTCCAGTCACATGGCATGTTATTTCCTTCTTTCTTGCTTGATGCTCTCTCCCCCTTTCATATTTACTTTATTTACCCCTTGTGTGGGTTTTCCTCTTTTTCTTTCGTCTTTACTGGTAGTTACCATTAAAATATAAGTTCTTCTTCCCAGAGGGATTTCATTACAAGCACATAGAAATCAGTAGTTAGTACTGCCAAAACCATTTCCGCAAACAAGAGTTTGGCTGAGCTCAGGACTTCAAGGGATACAGAATGCTGGCAACAATCAAATGCCAATTCGATTGGCTGCTTTTAAAAAAGATGTTTATTAGAAATTAGATGTTTTGGTTGGGAGAAAAACCTGGGATTGGGTCTGCTCTTGAAAACTAACCAGCAAGATGGCAAAACTATCTTCTGATAGGAAAGTGTGACATCCACCAAGTACAAATTTTCTTGAAATCTCCCTGTTGACAAAAAATATTAAAAGTTTTTTAAATTTTCCTTGATTTCTTAAATGAAAATACTTTGACTTTCTCAGCTTTCAAGCTAGAATCCAGAGGTGCTTTTCAATCAAAAGTCTTACTTATATTTAGTGGTCTATACCCTTTAGAGAAACCAAATCTGTGCAGATGCATTGTCCAGTTTACCCTAGAGATATGTAGAACATTTATTTGGAAAAGAAAGAAGGGCATTTTATTCCCAATGATTTTTGTTGCCATGGCCTTCCTTTCCCTTAGTATTATCAGAGGTTTAATTTGATGTAGTGGCTCAGGCACTCATCAGCTGTACTTCATGCAAGGAGAGTAAATGCTTCTGGTTTTGCTCCAGTTTGGTATTTTTCATCCTTGAATTTTTCCTGTCCTTTAATCCCTGACTTCCAGCTGTGTGGTTTCCAACCACAGCAGTTCACGGGCCTAAAGAGTCATTCAAACAACTTCTGAAATGTAAAGGCTCTCTACCGGCTAAAGAAGAAAGAAAACCCCACCTGTTCCAAATGTAAATGTTAGCTCGCAGATTACAGCTTGGAAATCCCTGCTCCACCACAGACACACTGGATCAGCACATCCTTCAGCTGCCTTGGCCACATCGCCAGGTCTTAAGCACAGGCAGGGTCCTGATAGCAAGAGTGTGCCAAGGGCTTTGAGCCAGACCAGCTCCTCTGCAGATTCCAGACCCTGTACCAAGAAGAACTGCTGCTACATGCTATGTCTCATTCTGCCTCCAAATCTTCAAACAGACAGCATAGCCAGTGTGGGACAGATGACTGGAGGCAGGTTTTCGGTATAGTGGAGCAATCGGTGGCCAGCCAGAGAAGTGAGAACAGAGACAGCAACTGCAGTTTAAAAAAAGAAAGGTCTTGTGACTACTGGATGTTTGCTTCACACCCAGACAGCGGTGTCTGAGTTTGATTCGTATTTGAGGTGCTAGTGTATCCACATAAAATATGATCAACAGAGCCCAAACAGGCAACATGAACGTTTAATAAATAAATGAAAATCATAAGAAAATTTGACAGTGTTGATAGTCACCTATTTGGCAGCTTAGAAGAAGCAGAAATGATTTTACAAACTGCTGCTCAGATACAGTGACAACACTCAGCTGTCTAGGTCACTCAAGTGTACATCTAGCCCAATCTGCACCATCCTTCAAGAGAGTAACGTGAACCCATTATTAAATATGATCCTAAAAAGTCAGCAGTCAAAAAATGCTCTGCTCCTTTTGCTACACTTGGAGACCTTCACATCTGATTGCAAATATACAGATAAAAAGTTCTGCAGAGTGGAGATTGATAGACACATGGTCAAACTCAGATGGCTGGAAGCAACATACAGATCAAGATTTTTACCAAGATTGCCCTTCCTCTTCTTCATGCAAGTTTCCCAGTCATGGGACATGATGTAAAGTAGCAGAGAACATATAGCCCCTGTATAGGATAGTGACCCTTTTTAAGTGGGGTAATAAATCTTACAGAACCTTCTGACATCTGCAGACCTGTTTAGAACTTTCTAGTTCATGTATACTTACATCTTGGTCCTCCAAATAAATTTATGAAGTGCAGCATTCGTCCTTTTCAGGACACAGTCCTTTAATGAAACCTACCAAGATAAATTTTCCTAGATTGCAAAACACTCCAGAAATAACATCAGCATCTCTATGAACTGGCAGAGTTTCATCCACCTTTGACCTAGGTGTAAGACTTAGCAGAACATACAAAACCCAGCTCCCTAATAGCCAATTAAGAGTAATAAAAGATAGTTCTCTGGAGGAATAAGATAAGGAAATCCATAGGTTTCACAAATCTTGCTTCAAATCTTCACCAGAAATGAAACAAACTTCAAAAAAACAAAAAAAAAAAAAAAAAGAGAGATTGCCCTTAAAAACATGTGATTTGAAATATGAATAATTTTGGAGTCATTTGTCTGCCGTTGAAATTGTGAGCCTCTAGAGTGTGCTCCAGTCATATTTTCAAGCATTTCCTTAGAAACTGAAATGTGTAGACACTTTATTTCCCATGAACGCTGAGATGCATTCACAAAAGTAAAACTTTAGAAGTTTAGGCCACCAGAGAAACATGGAGTTTTAAAAATGTCCTGAAATTGTATTATTAACAATACAGTAGACTATTAGAAATGTAATAGAGGAGAAAGTGACCAAACTGACAGCAGAAGGCCTGGAAACGCATAAGCATTTCTGAAAAGATTAAGAAAAATTTCTAGTGGTGCCAAGGAATACATATTCCAAAATTTTGGGAATACCTTAGCAGGCCCCTTGGTGTATTAGTTCACTTATCCTGTCAGTTAAGTATTATTAACAACCAACATGCCCAGACAAAGAAAGACTTTTTATGATATTGAACACTCTATGTCTTTTCAAGTTCTGAACTGATACCTCAAACATAAAGAGGGCTGGCTTGCAAAACGTTTCAGATTCACTTTCCAATAATTCATTCTCCGCTCCTTTTATCTGCCCTCCAAGGTTCTTCCCACATTATTTTTAACATTTCCATGCACTTGCCTCCAATATCTAGGGCTAAAACCTTACTTTTATTTAAAAGAAAACAGGTTTTTAAACAATCATAGAAACACAGAACAACCCACACTAGAAATTACCTCAAAATAACATCTGCCAATCCTTTCATGGGGAAAGGGAGCCTCAAAGAGATGGTCTTGGTACCCAGTCCAATCTCGTCTTGAAAACCTCCAGTGATGGGGACTACCACATCCCTGGGGAGGTTGTTCCATTGGATGATTGTTCTCACTGTAAAAAATGTGTTTCTTATATCAAGATTTAAACTCTCCCCAGTGCAGCTTGTGCCCATTGCCCCTTCTCTTCTCCACATGGCTCCTTGTGAAGAGAGAGCCTCTGTCCACTTTGTAGCCATCCTTCAAGTGGCATCTGGATTGCTTTGATGAGGTTCCCCCTGAGCCTTTTCTTTTCCAGTTAGAAGAGACCTAACTCCTTCAGTCTTTCCTCACTTGGCAGGTTCTCCAGCCCTTTGATCATCCTTCTGATCCTCCTTCAGACCTTCTCCAGTCTGTTTGCATCTGTCTTGAACTGTGGGGACCAGAACCAGACATAGCACTCCAGGTGTGGCCGGACAAGTGGTGAGTAGAGCAAGATGATCATGTCTCTGCCTCCGCTAATAATGCCCCTGCAGATGCAGCCCAGGGTATGATTTGCCTTGGTTGCTGTAGGAGCACACTACTGCCTCCCATTGAGCCTGCTGTCCACCAGCACCCCCAGGTCCCTTTCAGCAAGGCTGGTCCCCAGCCACATTTTGTTACACTTCATACTGTTCTTGCTTACCCACTCTTCCAGACTGTCCAGGTCTCTGCGTAAGGTGGCTCTCCCTTCTGATGTGTCCAGCTCACCACCCAGTTTGGTGTCATCAGCAAACTCGGTAAGGGTGCTTTCAATCCCATCATCCAGAACTTTATGAAGATGTTGACCAGTGTGGGGCCCAGTATCAATCACTGGGGGATCCCACTTGTGACAGGCTTCTAGCCTGAGTGAAAACCATTGATCATCAACACCCTCTGACTGCAACCA